ATACCAATCTATAAAGTCCTCTTCAGACTCACGAAACACATGCAATGACACCGAGTGTAGACGATCACAGGCCAGTGCGTAGAAAGTCCTTGGATCCAGTGTCATTGGAAACAGCTCAGTGCTGGCAGGGGTCTCTGCATCAAAGTGGGCCCATGTGTCTTGTCAGCTGATATGTCTCCCACCTCCAAGGAGGAAGTACCGGACTTACTAGAATTCTCAGGAGAAGGCCATGCCCACACAGAGGCCTCATTGGCTACGATCTGATTGGCAGACTAGACTCCACCCCTTCACTCTTAATCCTCTCAAATTGACAATTAGATAACTCCCACAGGCCCCCTTCCTAAGTTCCTCCTGCCCCTGCCCCCCACCCTTCTCTGACCCACTCGATCCACAGCCCAGTGTCACCCGGCTTCTTCCAGACATCGAAATCCCAACCTTCCTTTGGGCCCTTCTACTTGTCCCCGTGCCCACCTTCTGTCCAGGCAGCCTGGGAAAGGCCAGGGTCATCCCACGGAGATGGGGTGTAGCCCAGTGTGACCTGCCCCCATGCTGTTCCAACTGGACCTCCTGCCAGCAGGGCTGGGCCAGACTCCCAAGTGGACTCTCCCTTGTGTTGCGCGGCCTCCGGGGGCTGGCTGGCTGGCCAGCTGAGGTGTATGACTCCCTGGAGGTGCAGAGCAGCCCTGAGGCAAGGGTCCAGCCCCACACTGGCTCCCTGTGGCCTTGAGTGAGGCCTGAAGCCTTTTACCCTCTGCTGGGCCTCTCGGTCTCTCCATCAGCCCAGTGAAGGAACTGGACCAGAAGGTTCCAAGAACAGGAACACAGGGCCTCCCCCTCAGAGATCTTCGAGGCGGAAGACCCCTCCCATCCCTGTTGCCTGGGTTGGACCTGGTCTCCGCCTCGGGGTGGGGCAGGACAGGACTGGTTACTAGTTCAGGTCTGCACGCCCTGCCAGCCGGAAGTTCAGGATCCATCCTTGTGACAAACCATGGGGAGAGGGAGGAGGGTGGAACAGAAGGGTCAAGGGGTGGGGGGGCCTTTGAGGAGGGGCTAGGCGGGCATGCTGCAGCCATGAGGGGGGCCTGACAAACCCTGTCCAGGTGGTCGGACCCCTGGACCTCACCCTTGCCTTGCCAAGCACCACCCTCATGTCACGAAGCTGGGATACCGTCCCTGTGAGTGCCGGCCGTGGACAGTGCCCAGCTGCAGGGGGATGATATGCTTGAGATCTGCCCGAGGCTGGACCCTAACGAGGAGGGTGCCCTATGCTGCTCTCCGGCCTTTCCACCAACTCCACCACCAGCCACCACGGCCCTCAATTCTCTGATGGGTTCAAGGCTACACGACCACGTGGCTCACAGGCCACAGCCAAGTGGCATCTTAAGGAGTGGGGTACACCGCTGGAGGCCAAGTGCAGGCCAGTTACAGCGTGTGTGTGCAGGCCCCTCATGCCCGGCCTCCTGTCACTGCTGGCTCTGAAACCTGGGCTTCTCACTACCCCTCAGGGTCCCAGCCCTGGGCCCTGTCACAGCGCTCAGGAGATGCCGCCCTCCTGCCTCTGCTGCCTCCTAGCTGAAATGTCTCCGTGGGCTTGGCTGCTTGT